GACTCTCGTCCTCGGTCGCAAATGCCGTCAGCCCGCCAAATGCTCCCCAGGCCCGGAAGCAGAGCCCTCCTCTAGTTCCGCCGCTTCCGAAGCGCGCCTTTACGAGCGTGTTTACTTTCGCTCGCCCTCGCCCCCGCCCTCCGCCTCCGCCCTCGCGCCGGGACCGCCTCCCACGCGCGCTCCCCACGTTTATGGCCCACCCCCTCAACGGCCCCCGCGCCCGCGGGAAAGCCCTCGACGCGCTGCGGCCTCGACATTTATAGGGCACCTGATCCACATTTCGCGGCGGCGACGCGCGACCGGCGGGTCACACGGGACCCGCACAGCACTTGCATGGAGACATCTCGAATAATACGCATTTATTTCTATTTTACATTTCTCTCTTATTCTCTTAAATTTAAGTATTTTCTCAGGCCATCAACTTTTACAGACCATTGAATAACACACGGCACATGTCATACTTTTTTTCTTACATGTCAAGGTTTTTAGTATAACATAAATGTTTTTATTCTAAATTCTTGATTTCAACAATTGTTGTGGCTGTTGTTGCTGAAATCAGGAATTTATATAAAGAACACTAATATGTATGAAAAACGTTATGACATGTGCAGCGTGTTATTCAAATGTCTGTAATGATTGATGGCCAGAGAAAATATTATGTTAATAGTTCCTCATCGGAACACAGACTCTTAAATTATTATTTGATAATATCAACAATCACATATCTTCAGTTAAATTTACGTTTCGGTGCACATTGTGTCCTTATCGTCAGGTATCAACTGTAATATACAAAAACATTTCACTTAAAATAACAAAACGATAAACAGTACAATATTAGATTTTTAACTGCACAAATGTGATTAACTTTGTATTATAATAATTTAAATGTCTGTTGTGAGTTATTCCAATGTGAAAAATAACAAATAAATCAGAGACAGACTCATAATAATCAGAAGTTATTTATTCACTTTATTAAAAATCAAAATTTAAGGAATAAGGTCAGTGTTATATTACAAGTTATTGGAACATGACAGTTTTAATACATTGCCCACTATTTAATAATGATGAGGATTGTAAAGTAAGAAATATTAGAACTAATTCATGGTCTCATATTAACCATTATCAACATCAATATGTTCCCTTTCGCAGGCGAATAGTCAAATTTGAACAAAAATGATAGTTCATGGGAGGTTTTTCAAAGTCAATAAATGTTGCACGATGTTCATATCATAACATCTTATTACAATATCCGTTGATTATTAAACGAGGCCTCACGGCTTCTCAAAGGCGTCTACTAATAAGATGCCTTTCGATACTTCTATCGCAAATAACTACGAGCATTATGTATCTTGTCCTCTTGATGAGTCTGTAAGCACAAGTTCGGAAGGTTAACGGTAAGGCGTAGTGATAGCGATGACGAGTAAACCTGTCGAGACCATTAAAACCCCTACACACGTGTGGCTTACATTTTTTCGTAATTTTCATTTAAAACTTCAAAATAAATATTTTCTAAGAATCACTTTCAAGAAGTTACCCTTGATGTTTTGTGACCAAACTTCTATGTGATTGGCATTGTTATAAAACAGTTTATTGTGTTGGAAATAGATTATATATGTGTCGAGGCACAGGAATTACTTCTGACAATAATTATGTTATTTTATACCATGAAGAGTAGATGAAGGTACAGCAAACCCTTGTTAGAGTAACGTACTCGTACAATGCGAACACAATTTGGGCCACGGCAAGGAAACATAGTAACATGAGTATGCACTGTAATCGGAAAACAGACATTTTTACAATACAAACACCTATTTTTTCGGTCTCTTGGAATTCGTTTTAACGAGGGTTTACTGTATTTCACTAGCTACTTAAACAGATGACAAAATACATAAGCGATAATACATCAGATCAGGAGGCAATCCTGTAGTATCGTCATCAAGTCAATACTAAAGCCTAAAAACAAACGTCCACTCTGTCTATTTTATCGTTCGCTGCAGTATTTTAATTTGAACAGACGTAATTCATTGTTTAGATGGTTTGGCGCAACGGACCTAAATGCGTGTTATTAAGTACATGAATAACAAAATTGAGAATAAATAGAAACAATTAAACCCATAATTTACACATAACATTCATAAAGAAGATATTACACAAAGATAAACACTATGAACCAAAAGCAGTACAAACTTGTGCACGCAACTACAGAGTGTGTATATAAAGCAGAACACAATCTCGGAAATCTCTGCATTTTCACGAACTTGTTTTCTCTTCTCGTCTTCCCTTTCAAATAAATAATGTTTACGAGATGGTGCACACTTGGATTGTATTGTCGTGTTACGAATTGGATGCTTTTTTTCCAATTCGCAAGGAGCGTTTTGATTCAAAAAATAATTTTACTGCAAATAAAGAAGCTTGGCTTAAATAACGTACTAAGTTTGTGGTAGCTGAAGACATATTTGTATGATGATGGGCATTTTTACAATCGTTAAATATTCTTAATTGATTTAATAATATTTACACAGGTATACTCTAATAGATCTGTTTATATTTTAGCGCACCAAGTGAGAGAATGTCTTTTGCACAATTTCATAGTTTCAGGTGATACGATTTCGCAATCCTCAATACTTCAAGTGGGTTTGACAAGCCCCAGTTTATCACAACTTTTGGAATGAAATAATATACGTTTTACATTTTCACAAACATGAATATTTACGTAATAAAAATACAACAAAGATGTATTGTAGATATCTACTCGAATTTTCTAGATGCATATAACATTGGTCCTCAATTGACGGATTACTGTCAACATTACAAAAAAAAATACCCAGTTCCTTTCGTGTTCACATCGCTTTATTAGTACAACTGATGCCATTCGTGTACACTCACTAGAGAAGTAAAAGATAGACTTTATATTATAATATATATTAAGTTTGAGTGGCATCTCCGGAGATAAAAAGCAGAAACCGAACAGAACTCCATTTCACAGTTTAACATAAAGACTTTTTGCGATGCTGCTTTTTAATGAGTCGTCCTCCAACGCACAGAAAGTACACGTTTCAGAGAAAACAGAGCGTTATTAATTAAATCGGAGGAGCGAGGGAAAATGTCGCAGACAGAAGAACACGGCGCAGAGCTGCGCGGAGCGGCGCGGCGAGAGTTTAATGAGACAAGGGGCTCGTCGTTTGTGCGAGTGTTGGGTGGGTGGTTTGTTGCAGGCAACTTGTGGCAGCCGGCGTCCGCGGCGGCGGCGCCGTCTTCGCCCGCGGAGGCCGTGGACCCGGACTTCGGCGCCCCGGCGCCGCCCGCGCCGGCCCCCGCCGCCCGCCCGCGCCCGCGCCCCTTCGTGGTGTCGGTGCCGCCCGCGCCCGCGCCCAGCGCAGCGTCCGCCCTCGCCCCGCAGGTACGACCGCCCGCGCCCTGCTGCACGCCTGCCGCTGCCCTCAAGTGTGCGGCGGAAACCGTAAACGCCGCCTCGGGAAAAGTTGCGAGAACAACTTCTCATTTTGTTAGCAGTTAGTTCGCAATAAATTATACATTAAATACACACAATGGCTAGAAGGTACGGAAAAAGAGCAATCAGAGTTCTTTGTCAAATCCTTGAAATGTAAAAAAAAAAAATAAAAAAAAAATACACTAACAACTGTGGTAAAACATTTTTAGTTTAAATATGTTTAATGGTTAATAATGGCTTTAAGTAAATACATATGTTTAATTTATATACGTGATACAATTTACTAAGAAAGTTTAGGATCTGTAAAGTTTCAAACTACATAAAAAACGCTCTCCTGAAAAAGTTGGTATTATGAACCATGATCGTTCTTTATCTGTGTCCTTCAAATATAAAAAAAACGTATACTATGCGCAAAAATGGAAGATTTTTAAGAAAAATTAACAAAGTAACATTTTATTAGCTTTTCAAGTGTTCGCGGAATTGACCATAGCGGCAGAGCGAAAGTATCTAATTCGAATTCAGACCCTAAAAGGGCTCTCTGAGGAATCTACTACCATTGACGTCTTCCATAAAATGAACTAAAACACATGTCGTATTGATAAAAATCAGTTGAAAAACAAATATAAATCACTCCTAACTTTCAATGCCCTTTCTTACATATTAGAAAAAAGAATTTCAAGGAAACAAAATTATTAGCTGTGAGAGTACAGATTATACCAATTTAGCTATAAAGAAAAACGGTACTCCATTTAAAAATGCAAACTAATGTGGTATAAAGCAATAAAAATCTATAGATGTCAAGTAGTCAAAAAAATAGTTTGCTTAAAAATAAGATTTGAAAATTTAAAAATAGGGCCTATCTTTGAGTGTTGGAACCTTGAATCCTTCTGGCGATTCGTGAAAATTGAGGAATCGAATCTTAATACTACGCCAGACTAATATATACGTGTTTCATTAAAAAAACAAAGTGTATCCACACAAGAGGAGTAGTGACAAGGCGATGGTCAGTTTAAAACGTGACTGATCCACTAACAGTAGTTCACGTCAATAACGGAAAAACCTTTTTCTAGAGAGACGTATCTCCGTCTCCTTTTTTTCTAGTTTTTCGCATAAATCTGTTCCTATTTCGCTTTAATATCATGATCCAAAATACTGTGTAAAAATATTGTTTCTCCTGAGTTAAACGATACTCAAAGTCCGTTGTAACCTATTTTGAGCAATAAGATAGGATGTAAATACTTCCTCGTTATGAAAAATGGTTTCATGGAGGTACGTTACTTGGGAAATGCGTTCTCCGCAGTACAAGAACAGAACTTCCTCGTGTTGTAAAGAGTCTCAGTATCTCAGTCGTTGACGCGGTAAGTTTTTTGCTGTATCAAAGGTGATCTCTTCCCCCTCTAGCTGGCACGCTGTTCTAGGAGCCTCTGCCCGGGGACAGTTGGACGGAGCGCGAGGCGGACGCCGCTCCCACCTCCACCCCCAACGCCGCCACCGACGCCGCCACCGAGTGGACGACGTCTGAAGACGCGTGGACGACAGAGCTGTCGGCGGACGACGCCATGACGGAGACGGCCACCGACGCCCCTGGCACTACCACCGCCCCCGTGCGCGCCGAGCCCGTGCTCTTCCTGCTCTACACCAGGTGAGCCACGCCCACCCGCCCGTCAGTAGTGGATTGATTGATTATTAGCGTTTCCGGGAGCGAAAACTGACAAGATCATTAGTCCCGTAATTATACTGCATGCTTTTTTATCGTGTGAAGTGGCGGTGATCTTTCGATGGTGAGATTCGGAGCCGACCTGCCTGTCGGCGGCTTACGGGGTTTTCCCCAACCAGGTAGCCTGTTCCCCACCAGCATAGCCAGGACATCCTCTAACCTTCCGAATGTTCTCCTGGTATGCGTGGTAGTGTAATGCACGCTAGTTTAAAAGGGTAAGGAGTGAGACAAGGAAAAGGAAGGAAAGATCGCGTGAGGTACGTGGCCCCTGTGTTAAGGTACTACTGCAACATTCGCCTGGTGTTGATGGGAAAAAAAACGGAAAATTACCGAACAGAGCGGCCGGACGCTAGATCTATTCTCCAGTCAGCGGTTGAATTCCACCTAGGTGTGCAGCTAATGTCGGAAATCCTGCCTCCGACGGGACTCCAACCCTAGGAATTCCAGCTCAGAGGTAATGCAATGACATCAATTGATGTCCTGAGCTACCTAAGCCGGTGTGAGTTTTGGAGTTTTCGGAAGCATCAACTAATCTTTCCATGAGTGTGGTGCATATTATAGTAGGGAGGTGATGGTGTCGCTTTCTTGCCGGAAAGTGCGTCGACCGAAACAACTGAGCGTAGGCTGAGATGGGTTCTTGTATTGCCTCTGGATATTAATGCAGTTTTACTATGCAAACGTTTTGTTTAGCTCTCCTATAACTAGTTGTGGTAGGATCAGAGCTGGGGGTGTTAGTATTTTGTAAGCAATAGAAAAAATTGAAATCTGTAGTTCGTTTACTGAACAAGTTTTCTATAACTCGGAAGCGAAAATTTCTAGTTTTCAAATGTTGCTAAACTTCAATTTGTTGTACTTTCATTATTCAACATTCAATCATACAGATCTTACTGTTATTTAACGTAAATGAATTGTATCAAATCGGAACCAAATATTAGCTAGAGAATTTTTCCTTTCCAAGATCCTAACAGAGCACCGCCACTGTTGAAAGAAATTTCAATCTCCCTACCGGTCTCCCGATATGTGAATAAAGGCTGAGATGGCATAAATGAAGAAAGAAATATTACACGCGGTGCGTGTTCCGTTTGTTAAGGTAGGGCTCCGGTATTGGCCTGGTTTGATCGGAAAAACCACGGGCCGCTGACCGCACGTGATTTTCCTTCCTTCCAATCCCTATCCTTACTCCCTACGTAATACCATTTACACTTACATGGACTACACTACCACACATGTCGGAAGACCACTCAGGAGTTTGCAGCTTTCCCCAGTTGCAGCGGTGTCCACTAACAGAGATACCTAAAGAGGGAAACACCCCTAGTCACCACGTAGGTAAGCGTCGAATCTCATTTAGCGAGGGAATATCACTGCCACCTCTTGAGGGGAAAATGCAATATACTTACCGGTCTAACAACCTTAGCAGTTGACGCGCCCAGAAACACGAAATAAATCGATCAATTAACGCCTCTATTGCACGGGCCTCGTGAACGAAATCCCTTTTCCTTCATATGAGTTGTTTTGGGAATCCCTTTCGCTGATTCCGCTTCCGAGGTGTACGCAATTACGATTTCTGAGAGATATGAATCAAAATGTACTCCAATGGGATGAAAAGGGTTTCCAGTCTTTCATAAAGCCTGAATGAGCTCTATGAAGAAACACCCGTAGCAAGTGTGGCCGATTGTGTAAATTCCAATAAGAGAAGAAGAAATGAAATTGCACAATAGTTTTGGAATAACTATCCTCAGTGTTGAGTTCTTTTGTGAATACAACTTTCAAAGCTGAAGCAACTTTCAAAATTAAGAAAAAATAGAAATGCTATTTAAAGCACCTTTTTTAACACATTTACATTCTCAGACATTCAGTACTTACCCAAATTACTATTTGTTCGGTTAGCGGCTGTCGAATCTAGTGAGCTTATATGCCAATCTGCCTTTCAGTTCCCTTGAATATCAGTTGACAGATTAATGGCACCTGTAACATACAATAAGACATACTGTGAAACACGGGAAACTACTTTGAAATTAAAAAAAAATGAGATGTCTACTAATCTGTTACATGAAATATTAAGCAGTAATACTAATACTTTCCAATTTACATATTACTGATACTTCAAAGGCGATCACATGTCAGTCACCCAAATCCACTGCAAATCATTGAGGATTAAACGCATATTGAAATCCGATAATAAATGGAATGGAATTGGGAATAATCAAGGGTTAGTGAGTTAACGTTATTAACTAACCACACGCTACAATGAACATGTTTATTAGATTCCCTGTTTTGTATCACCATACTCTTCTGCTCAGGTATCATCCGGAAAATTTCACTAATGAAAATCAAAACGAATATGCGAGATATGCGTTTGACATCAAATCCATCATTTCACTGGAGAAAATCAACAAGAGAAACAGAAATCGAATCCCGTTGACATGCGAACCCGCGAAAGGTGGTACTGAGGAGTTGGAATGAACCGGACACTATCTCACCGAATATTAGGGGGCAAAACGTTGGATTTGAATCGGTAACTTTTGTTAGACTACGAAGGAACCCATTTACCTAGCGAAAATGTAAAAAAGCGAATGATGATAAATACTGAAGTAACCTAGTTTTGATAGCTTTATATTTGTAACAGTTTTTCATATCACTACATCTGCCACTAAACTTTTTATATCACTGTATTTGTAATAAAAAACCCTCAAAGAGAAATGAGGCCTCAAATTGTCACCACCCCCCCCTTTCGCCGCCCAGCCCGTCGTTGTCCCACCACTCGCCGTCCCGCTCCTCACCGTCCCGCCGATCGCTGTCCCGCTACTCATCGTCCATCCACATGCAGAAACGTCTTGTCCCACACATCCGTCTCATTCATCTTTCTATTCTAGACAGTCCCACCTCCCCCACAGCCCCACCGCTACATTCATTTCTGCACATCAATCTCCACCTTGTCCCATCCGCTCTTTGCCACTCCGTTCCAACTGTCCCTCTCAACCTTGCCTTGCGTTCCGCTAAGATCTTGCGTCCTGTCCCGCCGTCTGGTGCCATTCCTCCCCTCCACGACCCACCCTACCCCTTCCACTCTCGTCGTCCCATCCTGTGCCGTCTACCCGCTCAACTCTCGCCGTCCCGTCATGGCGCCACCCGTACGCGACTAATTCCATTTGGCGCCGATTCCCGGCGCACACACTTCCTTCGCGGGCGCGGAGCTGCTCCGCGGGCGACGGGGAGGGGGGTGCGGGGTGCGGGGAGGGCGCGTTAATTGGCTGCCGCGAGGCGCGTTAAGCGAGTTGTCGAGTGGCGGGGGGAGGGGAGGAACTTCCGCCGCGGCAGAGTAACTCGCGTCGTCGCCGCCGGAGGCGCCCGCGGCGCGGCGCGACGGCCGGATACAAGAGGGCGTACTCGAGTGACGGAGGGGGAGGGGCAGAAGGGAGGGTGTCTTGCTACACGACGATCTACGCACTACGCTCTCCGAGGCGGCTCCCGCAATCGTCCGATTCAAACCCTTTCATCCGTTCACGCAATTACGTTTCAATTAACTGCCTGCGCCGCATGGCGCCGCGTGGCGCCGCGTGGCGCCGCGCGACAGAGCGCTCACGTCGACGGCGCCGACCGTGCGAACCTCGCGTAAAGCTCGTTTTACACAATCATTTTTTCTTCATTTGTCATCGGCACGGAAGAATGACGGACCAGACCAGATATAATTGATAGAGAAAAATAACGCATGCTTCATTTTTCGGTATAGATTCCATTCAGTTTTAACTACCGGGTTTCTCGCGTTTCTTTCCAGAACGTTTCCAGGATTGCTACGCGATTTATTTCTTTTGTGCACTTTTGGGAGCGTTATACTGTGTTTAATTGAAATGCTAAGTTATTAGCGAGTTGGGAGGTAAATCATGTATGGTGTTTTAATGTCGCATCGTTCTGGGCTCAGTCCTACAATCACCTAACTTAATTTGTAACCACAGATACGATGTCCAGATATTTGATTTTCGGCGCTTTTTGCAGACACCAGAAGAAATATTTTCATCACGATTATGAGCAGAAAACGAAATGAGTGTAAAACACAGTTTCAATGACAAAACAAAACCACGTAGAAATGTACACGTACATGTTCTATTCATTTTCTGTCAGAATATGAGGGAAAAATGAGCGTGTAAAAGACACACATCGCCTATTCTATACAATCATGCAGATCATATATTATTTATTAATATCATCATTTAGCGAAAAAACAGAATTTGGGTGTCTACATCTTGTTTGGGATAGTGTTTTAAAAAGAGGAGAAGAAAAAGAAGGAATTCTTAAGTTTGGCGAATCAAAAGTGTTAATATGATAAATTATTTTACGGTTAATCTCAGTTTTCAATTATCATTTTAGTGTACTAAAGATGTTGGGCTTATTGACCAAAATCTCATGAAATTTGTGTGAAAAAATTGTTAGATTTTGTGTTTGGAAGTGAGTATACCTTGTACAAGAAAATGAAAAGTGTAGTGTGATTGATAAAGAAATTACGAGAAAATAAACGTTTAGATTGATGTTTAAAAACAATTTTTTATTTTGAAAAGTGTATGGCCTTTCAAGTCCATATCTTGTCTTTCTATAAGGATTGTTGCTTTTGAAAAAGTGCCTGAGTTTTGAATTTGGGTGTTTCAGTTCATTGATTCATTTATTTTCAATCTTTCTCTCTAATGAGAAAACTAAACAAGTCACGATCTCAGTTTTCTCAATAAATTCTCAGTCACCAACTTAGACATATTATTGTATTCGGCAAACCATTTGATAGATCCATCATTGTAATAAGGAAGTCAATAACGTCAATTCCTTCCTCTATTACAAGTCAAACGGGCAAGGATTTACCACTGTTGTGAGTCTCCGGTGATAGGCAGATAATTAAGGTACATCATTGAAATCAAATCTGTGACTGAGAATTTATTGAG